CGAGGTTTACGGCGCGGGTTTTCTTCCCTCGGAAGTCCTCAGCCGCCACGAGCGTTGGTCTCGATTGCTACTTGTTTTAAAAGAAAAGAAAGAAAAAAGGAGGCCGGCGCTGCCGTACTGTCTCCCCCGGACATACAGGCACGCTCGCTGCAGCCTGGGAGGTCAAAATCCGTTGCCTTCGTTAATAACGAAAAGCCCAAGACTACGCGAGTTTTAGCGGGCATGGGTTTAGTGGGTCAAATCCTGAAATTAATTGTTCTCTCTGCCCTGTTAAAGCAGTCGGGTCTCGTTACTCGCCACGGGCCGCCATTCGCGGGGCGGGGGGATTTGCTATTGCCGTTGGACACGGCAGCGGTGATCGGGTCCCGGGCGCCAGGGCTGCGACTCCAGTGGGAGGGGAGCTCCTGGAGACCCCGTGGATGATCAGTGTTAGTGTGAAAGCATCTTTTCAGGGGGAAAATCCGCATCTCCTGGACGCGCCCTGGCACGCAGGGGTAAGGGGACGGTGGGGACGGTGAGCGCTGCCGGCGTCCTTAGGGCTCCGGCGCTGGCAGGACGGCTGCTCCAGAATGGATGCTCCTTCTCATGCCTTTTGTGCGGGAGAGCACCACGAGGAGAGCTGAAAGTGGCCCTGATTTTAATCATACATCATTGCCCCTGTCTGCTAGGTCCATAAACTTCGCCTGCAGGCTGAAATAGCATTGACTCATCCTGAACTCTCTTCCAGTGGCTGATTACTGAAGTGGAATCTGTCTGATCGACTTAATAAGAATTTACCAGTGCACTAAATGACGAAAATTTGGTTTTTGCATGGCTGGGTTTTTGCAGTTGATGGCATTTCGAGCTTTCCCTCCTGGAGGCAAATAATCCCCATAAATACTTTTATTCCTGACCTCGTTAGTCAGATCCAGAGCCCACACGGCTTTGAGCTCTTGTCTAGAGAGCCGCTTTAGGTATTTCTAAACATGTTGGGAAGTGAGAAAACTCTGACCTGTGCCCCTTGCAATAACGATGTAGGGTTCCTGCAAAGGACCAACAGCCTGGAAGACAAGGGCCGGATCGTCAGCTCCTTGAAGGAGAGGCAGTCCTCCAAGAGCCTCTTGGCGTGCGAGAACAGCGAGAAGGAATCCAGGTTCCGGCGCACCGAGACGGACTTCTCCAATCTGTATGCCAGAGGTAAACGCTCTTCACAGCTTCTGCTTGCTCCGGCTCGGGCGGGTCCCTCAGCAGCCTGCCCTCGCCTCCCTTGGAAGTGTGGCCACGTTCAGCCCGTGCTTTTCCTCGGTGTTTTTTTGAAGGAAGGG